CCTGATGTACCACAAGGACAAGCAAATCCAGCATATGCACATAACAATAATCAATTTTTTTAAGTACTAAAATATCTTTATAATACAGTAAAACATATGGAGATTTGAGTACCTTTTTTCATGCATTCCGTAATATGATCAGAAGTAAATTGTCCGTCCTCACCCCTTCGATCCATATTCTTTCTATAATCCTCTAACATCAAAGGAGCCAATGCTTTTGTTGGATACTGCCAATACAAGAAACATCACCAAAATATAAAATCAAAATAATAATAAAAACCCAATAGGGTCATTTTATCAAATACATAAAGGAAGAGAAATTACAGTCATGTAAACAGGACCCGTATAACCGCAAACTTCAGTGAAGTAAGGAAGCGCTCCAATATGATCCAAATGACTACAAAAACAGTTCATAAAAAGAAAAACTCAACCAATCAATGAAAATTATCAACAGAAAGAAACTAACATAAAAGTGTTAATGAATAATGAATGAATGAAAACATACAAGTGAGTAATGATGACACAAGTGAGAGCATTATCGAAATCTCCAGTCTTTGAAATGAGAGAGAAATCTGGGTATCGACGAGAATCGGTGTACCCCATGTGCATCCCACAGTCGAACATGATTCTCTTGCCGTTTATCGACACCACCACGCAGCTTTTCCCAACCTCTTGGCCTGCCCCTGAAAATCAAACACGTTCATTTGCTAGTGAAAACTTTCAAAGGAAGTCCATGAATGAGAAAAAGGTGGATGGGTTTTACTAGTTACCAAGGACGAGGCAGTCGATGGCCATGACTGATTGGGAGTTAATTTTTCGAGTTCGAAGACACTTACGAACCACTCGGTTGGCGCGCTTTCGCTTGATTCTTTCCTCTGGGTTTAAACTGAACTGGATCGCTAAAGGGAGTTTTACACGCTATGTTAAAACTACTTTTAGTACTTTTAGATTATTATATATTTTAAATAATGAATTAAATAATTTATTAATTTTTGTTATTACTTATTTCATCTTAAACAGGGGCGGAGCCTCCTTATCTGGTGATGGAGGACATTTAAAAAAATTTTCATTACATATAAAAATTTTAAATTTTTGTAATGACTTATTTAACATAATTTTTTATTTAATAATTAATATAAATAATAAAATAATTTCACATATCTCACTTAACTTTAATTTGTTTAATTTATATTAACTTTTATATTTATATTTAATTTTTTTATTTCTATTCAATTTATTCACATGTTATAAGTTTTTATAAATATTCTTTTCTAAATTTCCACAAATTATTAACCATATTCTTTTTTTTTGTTATATAATATGTAATATCTACCTTCTACTTGTCATGTCCTTCCTTTTTATATTAAGTAGATTTTATTTTTTATGATTTTAATTTTTAAAAATTAATAACTTATTATATAATTTTCTAATATAAATTATAATATTACATTATTACTTAAAATTTCATCAATGCATCATGTTTTTTATTAATTCTAATTATGTAAAAGAAAATTAATTTGAGTATTTTTTTATAGTTCTATATTTAGTTGAAATGAAATTATCTTGAATATATAATATTTAAATAATTCTGATTATATAAGATAAAATTATTAATCTTATATATCGCTTTTAACTATTTATATTTTACAAATTATAATTTTATATTTAATTTCATATTTCTATTATCAATATTTTTATTGATGGTTGAATTTAATATATTAATTTTTTAAAATTTTCAACCCTTATTCTTCTATGTTTAGCCCTTAACAAAATTTCGCTAGTTTCACTCCTAATCTTAAATGTGTTGCACATCTCACATCACATCAATATAAGATGAATGAGTATTGAATATATAAATATGAATCTTTTACTACTTATTGAATATGTTTTTTGAATTGAAAATGTTAATTTGGCTTTGTTAAGATCTATTTTTAGAGTTTAAAATCACATGAGGTTGGATTTAAATTAGTTATGGCACGTGACATTTGATATCATAGTAGATTTAAATTTTCATTAATGTAAGACCTTATAGATATTTGATTTTAAAACAGACTCGAATGTCTACAGGTAAAAAGTTAGTGCAACGTAAGCATTGCATAATTAGATGACCTAAAACATCACGAATCCCGTATCAATAAAGGCAAATCCAAACCTTTAATGATGTGAGATTCCATAATATTTAATATTAGAGCAAACTCGGATCATTATGGATAAAGAGCCAATACAACGAGAGTGTTTGCACAATTAAATGAGCCAAAATGTTACAAATCCCACATTAGGACAAGATAATCTAAATTTCAAATTATATAATATAACTTTCCAGTAACATTGATATAATATTTCAGTAACTTAAATTAATAAAATTTTCTAAAAAGGATTGAGCAAATTAAAACAATCAGCCTTTATAAGTGAGAGAAAGATATATATATATATATATATATATATAATTTCATTTCTCTGGAAGTGTCAAGACATGAAATTGGGCAGTACAAACTCATCTAATATTAGGAACATAATGAATGATATTGCCCCACCCCCTCACCCCCACTCAAAAATTAAGAAAACAAAAAATGGAAGTGTACAATGAATTTTGTTGTGCCTAGGCAATATAGATATTGCGATGGACCTCTTCAGAAATAAAAAATCCAGCAAGACCCACTTGAGAGCTCATGGAAGCCATAGCAACAGCATGTGCTCACCAGATAGAAGTATGTCTGTTGGCAGTTCTCACCTATCAGATATAAGCTGGCAAACATTTAATGCAATTCTGAGTTCAGAACACATCTGAAAATATTTAAGAAGCAAGATAATTAGTAAGATGGCTGAAAATCAACAGACGTACAATCCTAAAATAAATAAATTAACTTAAATTTTAAAAAAAAATCTATTACCAATCAATTTTTCCATCATATATGATGGTTCGCAAAGCCATGCATCTTATGTTCCTTCTCCAGTTGGCTCCACCACTGAATCATCAGGACAAGATGGTGGAATGTCCTTCTGCAAGCCAAGATTCACTGCAAAACCCCAAAACTAGAACATCGGGTGACTCCGAAGGTTTCCTATTCACTGGCAAATATCAGACTAATCACTCTTCTTTGCTCCTCAGTGTCCTGTAAAACAGCAAGGCTTCATTTATCCTTTCAGTTGCAATCCCAAATGAATTCTATTTACTTAATTGCATGTGTTATAAATATCAACTTGGCAGAATCCCTGAAACTGGGGTATTGAGTCTTACTATGAAGGCTTCTCAAAATTAATTGTCCAATAAGCAATCCCAGTAGAAGGGTTTTGTTTTGTTTTCTTTCTAATTTCAAACAATGGGTACACAAGCTCATATTAAAGTCACAAATTGAAGGCTTTATGTGCTATCAAAATTCATTTTCTTCACCTTCTTTGCATGCTGCAGTTGAAAAACCTCTCTTTCTCATTTCTTCAAGCAACTCAGAAATGGCAGCTTCATTATTCTGCTGCAGATACCCTCTGATCATAATATCATAAACTGCAGCATCAGGAGTAATTGTTCTTTTTAACATATCCTGAAATATTTGCTTTGCTTCAATCATCATACCTTTATTTGCTAAACCAAAAATGAGGGAGCTATAAGTTAATAGATCAGGTTGAAAACCCTCTTGAACCATTCTATTCTTTAGTCTAAAGGCCTCTATCAAATTTCCTTGCTCACAAAGCCCGGCAATCCAAGAAGTATATACATATTTGTCTGGAGTGAACCCTGCCTCCAACATCTCCCTAAAAACCCTATTAACCTCAGTAAAATCCCCTTTCTTAGACAACCCATCAATGAGTACAGTATAAGATATTTCATTAGCCTTTTCTCTGCAAAAATAACTTTCAGCTTCATGCAGACAGCCACGTTTGCACAAGCCATCCATTAAGCTTGAAAGGACCACAACATCAGGTTCAAAACCATGGGCCAATAATTCACCATACACATCCAATGCCGCTTTTACATTCCCAGCCTTGAAATGAGCATCCATCATTGTGGTTAACAGCAACTTATCAGGAAGCAATCCGCTCTTGACCATATTTTCCATAAATTTCGATGCTTTGTCAAACCTACCACAATTAGAAAGGCCAGATACGATTACACCATACAATGCCATATCAAACTTGATCCCTTGAACACACATCTTAGCCAAATATTTCAGGGCATCACTTACATTCCTCTTTTTGAAATGCCCATCAATGATCGAAGTATAAACAACAGAATTTGGCTCAACTTTATCTTTCAACATTCTCAAAAACAAGCACTCAGCCCTTTCCAACATTCCCTTCTTGCAAAGACCATCAATGAGTGCAGTGTAAGTAACCACGTTCAGTGCAAGCTTACTCTGTTTCATTTCCCAATACAATTCGAAGGCGAGCTCAAAATCACCAACCTTACAACACCCATCAATCAAACAAGTAAACACAATGGAATTCAACAATACACTATCTTTCTTCATATCCCTAAACGCCTTAAACCCCATTTTCAAATCCCCTAATTTACAAAACATATCGATCCACGTACTATATGTAACCACGTTCGGCAAACAGCATTTCCACATATAACCCATATAAACAAAAACCTCTTTTTTCCTCCCCATCTTACAAAACCCGTTAAACAGCACATTGAAAGTAACCAAATCAGGCTTACATTTACCTACCCTAATATCATCTAAAACCAAACAAGCCTTAACAACATCACCACATTTAAAATACCCATCAATCAAAGAATTATAAGTTGCAATATCCGGCTGACACCCATAAAAAGGCATCGAATTTACAAGCTTTTCAGCGTAATCAGAACGTCCTAACTTACATAAAAAGGAGATGCTTGAATTGAAAGAAGAAGGATGAGGGGTGTACCCTTTGGAGAGGAAGGAAGAGAGTAGCTTGAGAGAGAGTGTGCCACAGTTACAAGCTGTGAGCCTGTGGAGAAGCCTGTTGAAGGAAAAAGGGTCAGGGAACTTTGAAGTTTTCTTCAAATGAGAGTAGAATTGGAGGAGAGTGCCAAAGTTGGAATCCGGAACCGAGAGTCCGTGGTAAGCAATAGGGTCTGGGTGATTTCTTGAGGCTTTCTTCTTCTTCTTCTTCCTCAGGTGAGAGAAGAATTTGAGGGTGTTTTTTATCATTCATGAGCTGTTGCTGAATTGGGAATGTTCGTGTGTTTGGAAGGCTTGGCTTGGGTTTTTTTTTTATTTTTTATTTTTTCTTTCGTCTTTGAGTTTACTTAAACCCTGGAAAGAGAAAGCATGTAATATCTTAAACCCTAGAACGGAGGAAGAAGGGGGAGAGTCGAACGACGCCGTTTGGCAATGAACATTATACCACATATTGAATTTGAGTTGTTTCGAAAGTTAGGCTACATGTCTTCTTTTCATTTAAAAAAAACTCTTACACTTTTATTTTTTCTATATTTTATATTATTTTTTATTTTTAATTAAAAACTACTCAATAAAATATCAAATTTATATACTTTAAACATAAAATTGAAAATCAAAATTCGTTACATTTTGTATCGAGTGAAAATGAAAAATTCAATCTAAAATAAAATTAAAAGATTCTTTTAATGAACCGACAAAATCTTATGAAAAATATTTAATTTTTATTTTTATTATATATGCAATATGTAATAATAAAATAACAACCAAGCCAATTAAAACCAAAAAATTTTCTTGATATTCATCTATACTAATTAACATGCATAGTAATTGATGTCGGAAAAATCACAACTTGGAATTAATATGTGAGCCTTGGCTAACCTATTTTTAAGTCAAAGTTGTTACATGATCATTTTCACTTGCTTGTGGGACCCTCATGGTTGAATCAAGCTGGGCCCTTCCTCCTCCATAGCTTTTGCCACCTAAACTTTCACATCACCATATCTTTCGGCTTTAAAACTGGAAAAAGATAAATCAACATAGAACTAACAAGATACTTATTTGGTCATAAGCTAAGCTTCTTGCAGTTTTGGAACACCACCTTTTCTACTCTTTTTCTTAATTTGGTTAACGCCCAAAGGTGTTGCGGCACTTCTAAAACTGGTTAAGCCAGCCAGCCAGCCAGCCGCATGGCCTTTCGAAGCTGCAGGCACTACTCGGCTCGAAACCCCCAGACTTTGGGCAGAAGAGAAGGTGAAGTGTCGAGGTCAAAGGCCGAGCCACCAGGGTCCAAATGGCTCCATAGTTTGTAAGATGCACCCAAGACAAAAGACCATAGGAAAATGAACTTCTCTTGAACAACTCAAAGGTTAATGTTTCATCTAAACTTTCATCGAATAGTCATTTGTCAATACCTTTGACTTTGGTTGTACATCCATTATACTTCTTCCACCACATAATAATGAAAGGCTAGCGTTTCCTCTCTAACCTTTCCCTTTTTTTCTTTAAAGTAATTATATTAACTTTGTTATTTCAGTATTTTTGTACGGTAGTGATGCAGCACAGCATAGGAAAGCAAAAAATAATTGAAGTTATAAATGAGATCAAATTACAGATCCAGAAACACATGAACGAGCTCCTTAACACGCCCTTAATAGAAAAACTTGAATAACCAAATTGGAAAAAGTGAAACCCAACTTCAACTCTTAAAATTAATTATGCAGTAGTCATTTGGTTTGATTTTATTAACCAAATGAGTAATTTTTTATTTGTACATTAAATTTCAAGACAGATAAATTACTCTCATTTAATACAAAGAAAATTAAAATTCAAAATCATTTAGTTTCGAAACAAGTATTCAATTTATTTTTCTTTACCTATGTCTAATGTGTCTTCATCATCAATTATATATGCTTAAACCTAATTGTTTTTAAAGGTGAACAATTAGGCAGTTCAATTAGTTCGATCTGTCATATTTAAAGATCAAATATTTTTTTAAAAAAAAATCAAAATCAATCAAACATAAAAAAAATCAAATCAATTAAACATAAAATTAATTCAATCGGTTTAATTTTGGATTTATCAATTTTTTTATAAATTATAATATTAAAATTAATAATAATATATATTATATAAATTTAAAAATAATATATATATAATATTAATTTAATCTTTTGGTTAATTCGATTTAAAAATTTTAAAACCGATAACTAAATAATTAAATCAATTAAATTAAATTTGTTTTAACCAATAGATTCAGTGGATCAATCAAAATAAACTGTTTTATCTAAATCGTACTCTCTTTGATTCAAGGTTCAATTTTACTCACCACTACTTGTTTTTGTGTTAATAATGTTCATGATTAGCTTAGATCGCTTATTCAACACTCTGTTCCAAACCTCTCCAAAGCCCATACTTTCGGGCCAATGCAATACCTTATTGTATTATTATAAATATTAAAAATATAAAACTTGGCTGATGCTAACCTTTAACTAGGCCGAAAATGCACTTGCAGTTCCAGTTTCCTTTGATCATCAACCTATCAAAATCAAAGCTTCGTAAGCTGGGGAATTCTCTACCTAACATTAAAAAAAATTTCTCTAATTTTTTATTCCCAAATGATGGGATTTCCTCCTCTTTTCTCCTTTTTATTTAAATTTTTTTAAAAAAGGCCGACAAATTTAAAAGCTAAAAATTGAGCCATTAAAGGGAATTGTTGTTTTTTTTTTAATTTTTGAGAGGTATTTTTATTTTATTTTCTTCAATCATAAGGTATTCCAAGGTTACTGGGAAAGGCGTTTTAATCTTTCACTGTCGACAATTGGTAAAGTTGGCAATGTAACATCTATGAGAAAAAGATAGGAAGAGGTGTTTTTTTTTTCTTTTAATTAAATTATAATTATAATAATATTAAGATTATGTTTATCCAATGAGAAAGACCTGATTATGATTCGAAGTTATCTTGATTGAGCCTTTAATCTAGCTTGTGAAATAACCTTAACAACCGACATTGTGACTGAGTGTTCCTTTTGTTTTTTTCTCTTTTGCAAATAATAAAACAACAAAAAACCTTTAAATCCAATGGTTACAACATCATAGTTAGAAAAATTTTAAATAAATTTATTTTTTATTTTAAATCAAATAAATTTTTATAATTTATCATTAATTATTAACAATCATGTTATTTTACGTCATGTAATATTAACGTAACATACTGATAGATTACAATAAATGGTGACATAATATATTGACATTTTATAATAAATAATAACGTGACATATTAATATAGAAATATTGACATTACCATATGACACTTTCATTCTCCAGCTCAATGTCGTATGAGCATTAAAAATGACAAGTGATGTTTTAATTAATAACGATTAATTAATTATTAATTACAAAAATTTATTTAATTTTAAATAAAAATATAAAGACTTAAGTGAAAATAATAAAATAATAAATACTTAATTAAATTTTATAAATAATTCAAAAACTTTTTAAAACATTATTCTTAGATTTATTTATTTCACAAGCAAACTCTTTATACTCACTTACACATAACAATAAATATCTATACTTATAATCTATAATTGATAATCTACAATAAATTAATGGCAATCATGTTGTTAAAATATTGTTTAAAAAATAAACTCTATAAACTTTCATAACTTTGTAGTCTAAATCAATTATTTAATTTCAAAAAAAAAAATATTAGCACAAAGCAAGTTCCATTTCCTTGTTTTATTGTTCATCTTTTGTCATTTTTCCTTTTACATTAACATTTTTCAAAAATGTCCTTAGCTATTAAAAATATTTCAACATTATCTGTTTTTATTTTTATATGATTTATTATTAATTATAAATTTTATGTTATATAAAAATACTTTTATATTTCTAAAATTTTATTTCAAATAAATAAAAAAATCAAGTTAACTTTTTTCGTTGTGAACAAGAGAATTTATTATTAATAAAAAGTTATTTATTAAATATTATTTATAGTAATTTCAATCAAAATTATAATTTATATAAATTATTTTGATAAATAACTTATTTATTAAAAAAATTTAATTTAATTTTAAAAACTATTATTTCTTATAAAAAAATTTTATTAATTTTTAAATTATAAAAATAAAAGTCGAGTCAAACAAGTTTTAAGTAAAAGTCATAAATTTATAACTTTTTTTCTAATTTTTTTGAGCAATAAAGAGTTTGTCAAGGATGAATAAAAATGAGCATCTTAAATCCAAAACCAAAAACATTAAGCTGGGCTTGAAAGGGAAAAAGGTAGAGAGACCATGTAAGAAGGCCCCATATGAACCCTTAAAGGCCATAGAGTGAGTTGGTGTGGTGTCAGCATCACAATGCTGTTTGAATCCCAAGCAGCAAATGTATATGTCTCTATGTGTTTGCAGCTAGTATGGAAAGGTTGATTTGATTTCAAACACCAAAAGAGAGCACAGCTCAGGTTGTTGGGTTTGTCCAAAAGCACCTTTCACAATCTTAAAAAAAGAATACTAAAGTACACCCCAATTCCATTATTTGTCAAAAAAATAAATAAATAAATAAATATGTATAACTTTTATTATTTATTTTTTTTCATATCTACAGAGTCGAAAATGACTGAATAATAAATTGTTGGATTATCAAAATAAAATAACATATTATACACTCCATGACATTTCCCTGTTATTATATATTGGAATTAATCCACTATATATGAAAGCAGCTGTGGGACTTTAAAAGTTTGAATTTCTCTCCCTCTACCTTGGTAGCCTCTATGGCTCTATCTATCCACTTCCAGGTTGATTCTTGAAGGGATAGCAAAGTTTCCCAAAAGGCCAAGGCTGCAGCCTTTGCTTCCTCTTTTTCTGTTTTCTTTAATATATTCCCTCCTTTTCCCCCTAAAAAGAGCACAAAATTTGAGAGGATCTGAGTATGGTGGCAGCTAGGGGTTGGGGGGGGGGGGGGGAGGGGAGGAGAAGAGGGAACCTAAGCTTTGGCTAGGTGCAAATTCTATCACCAGTCTAAGACATTGATTTGCTTGCATATATTGCCCCCTTTGCAGATGCAAAAGAAAGGGTGGGTAGTACTATGCTACATGCTATATATGTAATGTATATGCACACACTTAACAGTAACAGATAGACAATCATATTCTTCACAGGGTCACTATCTATTAATGGTTTTGTTTTTAGTCCCTCCTAAATTATGGGAATCTAACATGCATAATTAATGAAGCTTTAAGTGGGCAAACAAACCCATTTGCAGGTATTTCAGTCCTACAAAATGCTATTGCCTAGAGGGTGGGCAATTCTTATCAATTGTATAAAATGG